GCAGCCTGCTCCGGCGGGCCAGACCGGGCGGCACGGCCGCAGCCTGCCAGCCCCGGAGCTGCAGCTGCTGCTTCGGAGGCTGGGGGGAGAGCAGCATGGCCAGAAGAGGGGAGACTCTGGCCCCGCCTCTTCCCTTCTGGCTCTGCTGCCTCTGTTGGGGGGAGGGGCTGTGTTCCACCTCTCCCTCTCTATACCCGTTCATAAGCTGACCCCCTTCTCTGGTGCTTCCCTTTTTTACTAAAAAAATTCATCTTATGAACATGTATATATTGTAAATATTTTGGATGTTTTTCTACCTTTTCATATATATTGTATTCTGTGTTGTAACTGAAATCAAACTGTATGTCATTTTTTATTATAAATATTTGCACTGTAAAAATCAAAAATAGTATTTTTCAATTCACCTCATATAAGTACTGTAGTGCAATCTCTGTCGTGAAAGTAAAATTTACAATTTTAAAATTTACAAATGTAGATTAACTGCACTCAAAAACAAAACAATGTAAAACTTCAGGAGTCTACAAGTCCACTCAGTCCTACTTCTTGTTCTGCCAAACAAGTTTGTTTACATTTACAGAAAGTGAGAACAGGCATTTGAATGGCACTTTATAGCCGGCATTGCAAGGTATTTACGTGCCCGATATGCTGACCATTCGTATGCTCCTTCATGCTTTTGCCATCATTCCAGAGGACATGCTTCCATGCAGATGATGTTTGTTAAAAAAATAATGCATTAATTAATTTTGTGACTGAACTCCTTGGGGGAAGAATTGTATGTCCGCTGCTGTTTTACCTGCATTCTGCCATATATTTCATGTTATAGCAGTCTTGGCTGATAACCCAGCACATGTTGTTCATTTTAAGAACACTTTCACTGCAGATTTCACAAAATGCAACGAAGGTATCAATGTGAGATTTCTAAAGATAGCTATAGCACTTGACCCAATGTTTAAGAATCTGAAGTGCCTTTCAAAATCTGAGGGGAATAAGGCATGGAGCATGCTTTCAGAAGTCTTAAAAGAGCAACACTCCGATGTGGAAACTACAAAACCCGAACCACCAAAAAAGAAAATCAACCCTCTGCTGGTGGCATCTGACTCATATAATGAAAATGAACATGCGTCAGTCTGCACTGCTTTGGATTGCTATTGAGCAGAACCCATCATCAGTATGGACGCATGTCCCCTGGAATGGTGGTTGAAGCATGAAGGGACATATGAATCTTTAGCGCATCTGGCACATAAATATCTTGCGATGCATGCTACAAGAGTGCCATGAGAACCCCTGTTCTCACTTTCACGTGACACTGTAAACAAGAAGCGGGCAGCATTATATCCTGCAAACTTGTCTGTCGGAGCGACTGGCTGAACAAGAAGTAGGACTGAGTGGACTTGTAGGCTCTAAAGTTTTACATTGTTTTATTTTTGAATGAAGTTTTTTTTTGTACATAATTCTATATTTGTAAGTTCAACTTTCATGATGAAGAGATTGCACTACAGTACCTATATTAGGTGAATTAAAAAATACTTTTTTTTTTTTTTACAGAGCAAATACTTGTAATCAAAAATAAATATAAAGTGAGCACGGTACACTTTGTATTCTGTGTTGTAATTGAAATCCATATATTTGAAAATGTAGAAAACTAAAAATATTTAAATAAATGGTATTCTATTAACTGCGATTAATCACGATTAATTTTTTAATCGCTTGACAGCCCTACTTTCTGTTTGAGCATTTCAAAACAATGTAGTCTGTTTCACTCTTTCCTCTTTTGTGGACCTTTCATGCAGCAACAAAGAGAAAAGTCATTGGGAGACAGGACAATTATAAAACCAAGACGACGGATTTCACAGGAAGATCCAAAACGAACATTTTTTAGAAATGTCTAGATTTTTTAAGTTCATTTGTGTCCTTTTAAAACTACTCTTAAGTTATACCTCAGTCATCACACGCTCCTGCAACCCACACTCTCCAATATCTTCATGAAACCACTGACAGCTAGTGAGAAAACACAGCTGAAATGACAACAATGGCCAGCTCTACATCTCCTTTACATCAGTCTCCCATCTTTTTCCACACTTTGCCAAAATCAGCAACTGGATGAAGACCAATTGGCAAAAACTGAACCCAGGCAACACTGAGGTGAGGATGGTAGTCAGAGGGAAGCACTTTGAAGAACTCCACTCTTATAACATCCCCCTCTATCACTGTCATACATCCTCTGATACTTACCTGAGCTTGGGTGTCTTAGCCATTCATTAGAACTGGAAGTAAGTAGCCATCATTCTGACAACAGTCACTTCGATCTATTTACATCCAGAAAATTGACCCCATTCGCACAAAGATTCAACTACTGTGATCCACAGTCATGACTGCTGCAACTAACACCATCCTGGTCAGGTGGTCAGTAATATCTCCCTACTGCTATATGCTCATTATTAGAGCATGGAATTCCTACCCATAGAGATTCCGTGCTACAGTTTGGGTTCATTTAAGATTTGATTCTACGCTTTCTTTAACATATAGTGCCACTCTCCCAACCAGCAAGACCTATTCTGTCCTTCCGAAATATTTTGTACCCTGGTATTACTATCTCATTGATTATCCTCATTCCACCAAGTTTCTGCAATGCCTATTATATCTAGATTATCTCTAATACTTCCTGGACTTGTTTCTCACCACTGTCCTCTCCCCGGCCCCGCACCCTGAGAACCCACCACAGCACAGGATTCAGAAAAAGGCCAGATTGTTTTTACAAACATTTATACCATGACACCGCTCTTTACTAAAACTCCCCTCCCCGTCTACTTTCCTTTTCCTCCCTTCACTTCCCCAGCAACGAATCTACCCCGAAACAGAAGGAATCTCTCAATAATGCCAACCAGACATATCTAATTATCTATAAAATGATTTTGCATAGAAAGAGACAAAGGTGGATTAGAATAATAATACCCAGCTCTCAATTATCGCTTTTCATCAGTAGATCTCAAAACACTTTATCAACAAGGTCAGTGAATTAACTTCTAACTAACCCCTCCCAAAAAAAACTCAAACACAAACCAACCTACGCACTCTCACACCCCCAGGAAACAGTGAAACTAGCTATATGCAAAACACTGCCAAATGCACAAAGAAAAATGAAAGAGCAGCTTTAATCTTTAATTTACAGTAATCTTAGGTGTTATAAATAAAATCAGAGAGAAGTGTGATTTTTTTTTAAGCTGATAGTTATTTGTACTAAAAGGACACTATCTTGGATTTAATCACGAAACTTGACTGCTCATTCCATTCTTTCATGTAATTAGGTGAAACTAGCTGTTTCTTTTTATTTTAACAGAAATGCTGCAGGCTCAACAGAAGAGTACATCAACCATAATGGTCTATTTTAAATTAATCAAATCGCGTGAAAAATTGTAAAAACTTTACTCAAAAGTACTTTGTTAAAGGGACCAAGAAGAAAACCTCAGAAGAGCAAAACCGACAGAAGTTGTTGGTGGCAAAAGAGGAATTTTCTCAAATAGTATATAGCAGCAGGATCAAAAGTGCAAACATGAAGCATGAAGAAGAAATGAGAGGCTGCAACCGTCAGAAGCAGTCACCAACCACTGCAACAGAACTGCTGACCACTAGCAACACATCCGAATGTATGAAATGACAAACTGTCTCAACTCTTTCATCCTCTCCTCCATCATCTTCTTTACCTACTTTTTCTGGCTCCTCAACATATTACTCTGACTCAGTCAGAATCCCTATGAAACAGTAATAAATTTCCCTGTTTAATTTTCAAGCTAAGAATAATACAATAAGGAAGCTATGCAACAAATCTCCCTCCTTCCTCCCCCTAAATGAAAATGCTACTACTCAAGGAATAGTACCGAACACTGAGTGGTCATCCATCCATCACTTCTACCCTCTCTTTCCCTCCCTCTCAAATACACTGCCTCACATTAGGCATTGTTTTCAGTACATATGATCAAGCAGCATCTTCATCTTTCTGCAACTAACAAAATATGGCTATCATTCCTAGTAGCTACTGCAGTGTTTCACTCTCAACAGCAGCTTTTGACTGTTAACTAGTACTAGACTGTTAACAAGTCTAGTTATTTCCAATGCTCTCAGTAGGGAAACTCCCCACTGTCCTTCACAAGTGTGTAGAACATGGCACACAGCAAGAACATTGGGGAAGTATACGTTACTGCACTTCAGAAAATCCCTTCCATTTAGTATTAGTCACTTTACTTCTCTGTAAAGATGTTTCCCATCCCATCTTTTGACAGTCTTATCTATTTAGAATGACTGTAAGCTCTTATTGGGCAGGGAAGTCTTACTATGAATTAGGCTAAGACACAATGCAATGAGGCCCCGCTCTAAGTAAGGATCTCTTGGCACTACCATAATACAAAGAAGCAGCACATTCCATCACCACCCAGCTACTGCTGAGGCAATAATTAAAGCAATACCTCTGTTAAAAAAGTGAGGAATTGGTTTCATTAATCCAAAAAACAAGAGACCACAGCTTGCTCATTCAGAATCTCATCAGGAGCAGAAAAACTTAACACTATTTTCCAATTTTTTTTTTAAACTTATTTAAACTAATACCCAAAATTGTTACAACCAAGAACAGACTAAAAAAATGTTTCCATATACTTTGTGCATTTAACAATACTGTGGTATAAACACTGTTGTGGAGTGATAGCTGGTAGAGCCATGCGCAGATACAAAATTCGTAACCGCACCAGATCCGTTATCGGCAAACATGGCCCATGGATGCGGATATCAAGTGGATATCCGCAGATTTGCCAGGCTCTAATAGTTGGGTTTGTTTTTTGCAGTAGTGCCTATACCCATAAGGCACTTTCCAGATAGAGAAGGCATGATTTCAGTTCTGAGAAAATTAGTCTATCCCATCAGTGATTTTATTCTTTTGTCCAGGTGAGTCTTTCATACTGCAACAAGAAACAGAAACATTCTAAGACAGAAAAACCTGACAGCAATACTCACAACATAGACAGAGGGCCTCAGGGACAAGTTTTGTACCTGAAGTTGTTTAAAAATTGATTAGATTGAGTTGAGTGTCCCTTTATTTCTCTAGTGTGAAAGAGGGATGGACAAATTGCTGTTGTGCTATCTTATGCACAAAATGAACTTTGAGAAGTCTCTTACTCTGTCCAGTGAGGCAACACTGATCAACAAACAAACTGTGGCCTCAGATCACAGAAGTTCACTCACGCCTGTGATTTTAACAATTAGTGGCAGCAGATGGTGGGTAGATCAGACAAACATGTTCCACCTACGGCTCCATCAGTTGGCAAAGCTCCATTCATGACAAATCCTTAGCTCCATGGTATATTAATACTGTTATGTTTCCAAAGGACTGTTACACTTGTCCACACCAAACATGTGAACCACTGAGCAATATTGAGCAATATTTGCAGCTAGTCTTCAATAAGTATAACAAGTATTTTGTCCACAGAATGGCACCTAGCTTACAAGGAAATCATTACCGTAGTGTTGGCCCAAGCTCCAGATAGAGATAGTGAAGGCTTGTTCATCTGGAAGTTGGACATTCAACCACTGTAAAGGACTATTGGCCTAAACTTGCTCTAGCCTGGTCACAAGTCAGAATAACAAGACTCCTCAGTTATCAGCATCCTTCTGATTGCACAGTGTGTTGTACTGAGGCAGGCTCTTAAGAGTCCCCTCTTATTTCTCTACCTTATCTCGGTCTTCAGCACCAAGGGACTTGGACTCAAACCAGAAATATCTAATTGAGAAATGCCCATACCACTTGGGGATTCAGGTCTGGCTGTACAAAGCCCCAAAATACTATTCACAGTCAACATGGGATATACTGGAACCCCTTAAAGTGCGGTTTAGTCAGAAGAGAATCTATGTAAAAATGGCACCTTGACTAAGCCACAGCAGTTATGGGACAGCAAGCTGGAGACTGTTCTAGCTCACACAATTAAATTTCTAATGCAAGGCCAATTTCTGCTGTTACACAGGTAGCTGAATTTAACCCAATGTATATTTTAGCAATAAAGATATGCAATACAAAAAAAATATAGCTTAACTTTCAGATCCCAGGCTAAGCTGGAAGTTAGAAAATCCATCTTTTTACTTGTGACCGATGCACATTTGACCTTAGAGTCTGACACACAAACCTGGAACCCAATGAAGCCTTTTTTAAAAAGCAATATTTAAATGTGTGTCCAAATTTCTCTTCAGAACAGAGCCAAACTTCAGTTTTCTCCTATGACCTACAGCAAATATCAAATATTTTAATCAAAATATGTGTTTGCAATTTAAGTAATCTTATTTTACATATTTGAATTTTTAAGTGTTTTCTGTTTAACTCCAAACGCTTGACTGTTTTGTAGGGGAAGCTTTCCTTGGGTTTCTCTCATTGAAGAGTGCATGGTCCTTGCCTATACAGGTCAACAGTAACTGGTTTAAAAAAAAAAAAAATCACAGTATCAATCAGGATACTGACCAGGCGGACATTATAAAACAAAACACATTGATAAGTCTCTCCTCGAGGAGATAAATACAATTAATTATCTCCAGATTTGTTCTACTTTATACAATTTTGTTAGTTATTTTGGATTAAGGAGAAGAGAGAGAAAATTCATTCAAACAATAGCTTGAAAGGAGCTAAAACTGTATTAGCTTGATACTGGCCAACACACGTGACCACATTTCTATGAGATTTCCCAGTTAGAACTTGAGGCCACTGAATTTCTCTGAACCACAAGTCCTTCAAATTCATATAATTAGTGCACAAATGTAATTACAATTATCTCAAAAATTAACCCAAAATATATAAAACTCACTGATAGCATAATATCTTAGAGGGACAGTGTCATTATCTTTAAGCCCTCAAAACTGTTCTAGTTTACCCTTTTTTTTTTTTTTTTTTTTTAAAAGGACACTATTAATTGAAAATTTATACCACGGATATTAACTGTGTAAGAGGTAGTCATATTTGTTTGGAATGCCATAAACAGCAAAAGACAAACACGGAAGGATTTCCATTTTATTTTCTTGGACAGTACTACATACACTAAAAAGTAAAAACAAAGAATACTTGACAGAGTTCCCTAGAAGTGTCAATATACAGATAAACACTTACTTCTTGCTGCGCTCTTCATGGCCATTGGCACTGCTCAATTTGTTCTCATCCTAAGCAGGGTTGATAGAAGAACATCGTGAGGACGAAGTGGTAACATTTCAAGTGGTCAAAGGGTAATGGGAATAGGAATAAGAAAATACAAAACAAAAATTTTAATACTAAATTACGTGTTTATAGTTTAATATGGAAAGCTATAAAAATTTAAGTAGGCATGTTTAACCACTTTGCTGTTTACATTTAAGACATACAATTATAAAATACAAGAAATTACAGTTTTTAAAAATATATTAAATTGTAGATACTTCCTTACATGATTTAGATAGTAAATTATCCTGTAGATTTCAGCACTCAAGTGGTTAAATGTTATTTCTATAAAATGTAAGAGGAAGTTTCAGGTTTAAGCATTTTTCATGTGCTATGATCCCTTTGATCAGTACCAAGGCTATATCTCTGCCTAAGCCCCAAGTGGCCATGCTAGCAGCCAGCCACTATCGATTTCTTGTGACCGATGCCATTCCTGAGATCTTCGCTCATTTTCGTTGGAGGGTTGTAAGAGCTTGATGCCACCTCTGTCACACATCTCGCCCTGAAGCAAACAGGGATTCACACTGCTTTAGTAACGTCGACTCCCAAGAAAGTCATCAAAAATCCACCAGTCCAGCCTAAACATTCCCTATTTCCATACCTGTTTACATGGAAAATATCCATGTTAAACTAGGACACAAGAATCTTAACATTACAAATTATGACTATCTCTTCAAGATTTTACGTAACTGCTAAATATTACATAAAATTAAATATACAGTGTTTAAAGCTTACAAATGCTCATCCAAAACTGATACCACATGGTTGTGCTAAACACTCCAAAATAAACTAACAGTAGCTGTCATATTTATTCTATAGTTTAATCACTCCAGCTACACCATGAGTACAACTACTAAATTATTTCAAGTTTATACACATTTCTTGTGAAACCAGTGCTAATGCATGCATAATGTTAACACTTTCACCACCAATTGGTGAAAAAAACGAAAAAAAGACAGTATACATTTGCTGCCTGTTAAGGAGACTAAGTACATCACTATTCTAGTCATTCAGAAGTTAACAGAATTTTGTGTCAAAATTGGTAGTTCCTAATTGAACAACTAAAACAGAAGAGTACAACGGCTATTTTTAGAATGACACTGCAGACTGTGATACTGTCTTTTACTTGCTAAGAATGTATCTATTCAGGGATCCAAGAATTTTGGAAAGTTCTTCCACTCAGCAATTCATTTCCATCTGCCCTGTTAAAAGATTAACCATCACCAGTCTTCTATGTTAAAAATAATGGTCACACGCCTCTTGCACTGAGCAGACTATTTAAAGATTTACTTGCCACGGACTGGTGAAAAGGTTATTCTTGGAACCCTGCTATTTTCCCAAACACTGCATTCACCTTGTTGCTATACCAAACTGGAGCTGGCAATTTTAGGCGAGTAATTGTTTTTTGTTTGTTTGTTTTTTTACCTAGGGGACCACGGTACAGCGATACGTCACTCAATTACTACCTTATGATTGACAGTTCACACTGGAATCAAAGGTGAATTCATGGGAGTAGAGGTGAGATATCGTTAGGCAAGTCTACAAAGAGAGATAGATGGGCATTTATTCATCACGCTGAAGTGAAACTACTGCACAATATAATTACATTAACAGTATATATTTATTTGCAAGTTACATGTAATGCATCTCCAATAAGATAAATCATGAGGGCTCCAGGGATGTTAGTTTACAGTTCAGCAGTAGTTTCATGAATAAGGCTAAATTAAGGTAAGTACAACACCTCACTGGCACATTTTTCTCACCTTCTTGTAAGGAGCCTCAAGCATTGCTTCAATATCAATATCGTCAGCCATTTTTCAGGACACCTGAAAGGAAGAGCAAAATCCATCAGACAGGAAAAAAGCCCATAAACTATATCAATCTCTAACAGCTTCCAAGGCACTTGTACTGTTGGTGACAAAGCCAATGTTGGGAAGACCCCAAATTCACAAAATGATTTTTAGTCACAATGCATACTATTAGACTTGGCAAGCTGGTCAACTGACCGCTGTCAAATACTGTTAAATATTCCATCAAGAATGCCCTGAGGCCTACCGTTTTGACTGCATCATGATGTTTGTTATCTATTAGCAAACCTATATACATGTCTTTGATCACTTTACTACATGCTAATGCCACGTATTGGGGAAAAAGGTGAACTAACTGAAAGCTGAGTATCTTGATTGGCTGGAATCTTCTAGAACAAACATTGTGCATATGTATGAATGTATATCTTTATTTGTATGCACGGACATCACGGCATATGGCAGTTTACAAAGCACATTAAACAAGTTAAGAGATACCTTCCCTGTCCTCAAGAGCATACAAGCTAAACTGACTAGACAAATACAGAAATTAATCAAAAGGAAAAAAGGGGGAGAAGTGTTCACAATAATTAAACTTCCTCTCCAAACGCAAAGAAAAAAGGCGTACTGCCATTAAGCTGCCTACCTAACGTAAGTGCATTTAAATTTTTTCTTTTATAATTGCTATACTGAGTGGATAAAAACCAATGCTTTTTTTTTATAAATCAAAAAAATCGGTTTTTGATTTAAATTGGATTTTTCTGATAAAATGCTTTGAGAAAAAACCTAAGATAGTTTTAATTAAGATACATTATAGCTCAAAGATATCTCATCATGGAATAGGGATTATAAATTTTAATTCTATAGTATGAGATAATATATTCATGTAATGTTTAAGAAAAGCTTTGTAAATGAGTTCCAATAGTTCATTGATTAGGGACCCAATCTTATGCAGTTCCAGGGGCTTCTGGAACTAAATTATTTAGGTCAGTGGTTCCCAAACTGGGGTTTGCGAAATGTTACAGGGGAATTCTCAGGGAAAAATTCCCTAATGGTGGACAGAGCTGTCCCTGGGGACCCTGGGCAGCAACCGGAGCCCCTGGACTTCCAAGAATTAAGCAGATCAAAGCAAGCCTATCTATCACACTAAGGAGATTTAAACTTCAAGACTCCTTATAAGAAATGGAAAGGTAGATGGATATTTTTTGCTGTTTTTAAAATTAAATAGGCAGCTAGTATTGTTTGTAAAATTATTATGAAGAACAAGTTTAAGCTTTGTTGTAACGTGCATTGATTGCCTGGACTGCTCAAGACCTTGAATGCTTGTGAAGGAGAAACTCTTTGAGTTGGCTTCTTAAATACCTTCATGCTGTTTCACATCCGATACGCGATGAAACCTTGTCTTATAACAGGCTTATTCAAAGTGATACAAGCTATGAAAGTGAGATTTTGGAAGAGTGTTGCCATTTTCATAATGTAATAAAAATACTGTAATGATAATAGTGTGCAATAAGCACGTCATAAAAACAAATTTTATATTTCCAAGATCATTGCTTTTATAATTTATACTCAGGTAAAGGAGAAAATCCCTGGAAATATTCATTTTTAGGAGGGGGTTTGCGAGACTTGACATTTTAGTGAAATGGGTTCACAGATTGTTAAAGTTTGGGAACCACTGATTTAGGTTAATCTTTCTATCTACCCAATGGGACTCAGTGCTCAGTCTAGAAGATACCATCAGAGATGCTTAGGTTTGCAGTTCTCAAACTGTGGATTTGTGTCTCCAGAGATAACATGCTTCTTAACAGCAAAAGTGTTTTTAAATAAATATATAGAGGTGAGAAATAACAGACCTCAACCCTATTGTCCCTCTGCAAATTTGTGTACCCAATCAATCCCTTACCTCTCTCTAAAAGTGCAAAGTTTCAAAAAGTTCAATTAATAGAAGATTGTTGGGGCGGAATAGATCTGGACAAGGAGAGGTCATCTGGAGATAAATGTGAGAAGGCAGGGACAGGCAGCAGAAACAAATGTGAAACTTTTTGAGCAGAATATTCAAGAAGTCTGGAGGTCTTTCTGAGTGTAGCCTTCATTGATTTGAGATCTATCATATTCTCTCACTAGAAGGAAAAACCTATAATGGCAGCAAGCCGTAAGAGAGACCCAGTTTGAGAATATTTTAAATGAAATTCCTCTACCTGTGGGTAAGACAGGCATGCATGCAAAATGCAAACAGTGCAACAAAGAAATGCAAGGCCTGGTTGCCCGAATGAAACAACATCATGAGAAGTGTTCCTTCTCAGGAGGAAGCTGCCTTGAAGATGATGAAAGGAACGTCTCTGAACATGCAGGATCTTCAGGTTGGTTAACTTTTTTATTTCATACTTCTTTGTTAAGGACTGCCTGTCTTCCTTCTGGACTATTCTTGAATTCTCATGTTTGAGCAAAAAATATAGTTGTTACTCTATGGTATTTTCATTTTAGATGCAGTTGTGATAAAAAACAAATAGCTGAAATAGGCAGATCTTCCTTTTGCAATTTCACCTTTAAAGTAGTACTGAGTGTCAGTGAATGCAATGAGTAATACTAACTGAGCAGTATGGTAATAATAATTAAATAACTGCATTGACTTATTTTGTTTAGGAGAATCCATCCTCAACATACAGGATTCTGAAGACTATCCACCTTCAAGATCACCATCATTTTCTATAGTTTCAGAGTTATCTGCCAATGATAGTGTTTCAGTCACATCATGTATGTCACATAGCCACAGTATATCACCTGTAGCAAAAAGAAAAAAAAAACCTCCATCACCCAGAAACAACCACAGATAAGTTTGTGATAAAAACCAGCAAATTAGAAAAACTGGTAACTGATGAAAAAAATGCCCCGTTTATTTATGCAACAAACTCTCCTTTCCGTATGATTGAGAACCCACACTTCATTAACATGGTTCAGTCATTAAGACCAGGATACAGTCCACCCAACAGAGCAGATGTCGCAGGCAAATTGCTGGATAAATTGTATGAAAGAGAAACTGAGCAGTGTGCATAAGGTCTAGAGGGTGAAACTGTTATCCTGAATCTTGATGGGTAGAGCAATGTCCACAATGATCATGTTGTATGTGCTTGTGTAACAACAGAAGAAGGGAATGTCTTCCTTACAGAAACAATTGATACACCAGGAAATGCACACACAGCAGAATACTTACAAGAAGTAGCAGTAAAAGCTATAATAAACGGTGAAAAAAATTTCACATGTCTAGTACGCAGCTTGGTCACAGACAATGCTGCAAACGTATCCAAGATGAGAAGAAAGTATTTAGAAGAGAGTCCAGAGCTAATAACATACGGTTGCAGTGCTATTTGATGCACCTGCTCTGAAAAAAGTGGGAGGAACCAATCTAACTTTCCTACAGGACGTGCGATGGAACTCAGTTGTGGACTGTTTTGAGCACTATATCAAGAACTGGCCTAATCTGATGACAGTTTGTGAACAAAATCGTGAAAAAATAGATTGCACTGTCACAGCCAAAGTTCTCAACATTCGGCTTAAGATAAATGTTGAACGCATGCTGAGTACCCTGAAGCCTATTTCTGTACCCTTGAACAAAATGCAGGGGAATAGCTGTTTTATTGCTGATGCTGTTGAAATTTGGAAGGAACTGAGTGAGATTTTAAAAAGAGAAATATGCAAAGTTAAATTACAAGCATTAAAAAAAAAACAAATTGGAGAAGCACTATCTGCAGCTCATTTTCTTGCAAATATTCTCAATACTCAGTACCAGGGTCAGACCTTAACTGCTGAAGAGGAGTTGGCTATGACATGGAAATCCATCAATCATCCCGCCACAATGCCAACTATAAACAAACTTTAAAGCTAAGGGTGTTTGCTGACGAAGTTTTAAAGAAAGTCACACCAGTGAACTGGTGGAAGTCACTTAAACACTTGGATTAAAAGACTGCTGAAGCGATAATCTCACTTTTAACACCAGTATCATCTTCTGCTGGTGTAGAAAAAATATTTTCTTCCTTTGGACTAATTCATTAGAAATTGAGAAATTGTTTGGAACCTGAAAAAGCAGGAAAGCTTGTTTTTCTGTTCCAGATTATGAACAAACAGGAAAATGAAGGTAAAGACGACTAAGTTTCTCATGTTGACCTGGCTGACATGGTCAATTTAATTTTTTTTAAATATATATTTCATTTTACTATTTTAGTTAAAACCAATTTTAACAAAAACAAACCTGATTTTAAAAAAACTTGAATGCTAACTATATTCAAAAAGTCTTATACTTGTTTTGTTAAATTATGTGTTTGCTGTTGAAGAAAAAAAATCCAGAATACATAACGTTGTTGTTTTAGTTAAATAAAGCAATTTAAATGTCTGTCTGATGATGTTCTCCTCCTAATACAGCATGGCAATAAAATCCTCCAAATATTAATGATTAACCTGTTGAATTGGAGTTCACCTCCCAAAGACTTCCTAAATATCTGCTTCAATTACCTTTGGTAAAAATGAAATAACCAAATAATCATTCATTTTCTGATATAGCTGTAAAACTAATCTGAAATGTTTTCAAAATAAATCACTTTAAAAATGTATAGTGTGTACCTTCTAAAAATGGAACCTACATCTATCTCTGAGTTGTGAAGAATATGTATTAAGGTTATAACAACGAACAAGAATGCACTTTTATGTAGAAATCCATGATTAAATCAAGTCTTCCTAACTAGTGATTTAAATCATGATTTAAATCCAATTCACCGTTGCTAGATGTGTTTCCCGTTTAATTTCATTTTCTTTTCTTTTGTAATTGTTCAGTCTTGTTCACATTTAAATATGAAGTTAACATTGCTACTTTTTTTTAGCAATGATTATTTCATTTTTTAAGAACTTCATTTCATTGTTTCACATTTTCCAAGTTAAAATATTAATTAAATAACCTGTTTCTTGTAAATAGGCATATGTATCGAAGGCTAAGCCTACTGGAAACCATAGTCTTACTCACTACTGTTCTAATAAGTTAGCACTTTTTAAAATATTTGACCAATTATTTTTGGACCAGTCAATTGACCAACTCTACATACTAATAAGGACCTTGTTAAAATGATTTTGAGTGAGAAACATCGTATGGAGAAGAATCAGGAAGGAGCTTGCAGTGGGAATGTAACCTGCACGCTGACAGTACAGAATGCAATATAAGCACCAGCTAAGTCATGGCTATGAATGGAAGATGAAGTTCAAAGAAAAGAACTGTGTGCCACCTGCTTCTTTATGACAACGAACGTCAGAAAGGTTCTCCCTACACCGAAATATGCTTATTTATTAGAAATTCAGGTCTTACACCAAACTGAAGAAGGGTTTGACACCAGTTACCAAAAGAAGCAAGACCTAAGCAACAGAGAAGGGACATTTTTGCAAATGTCCAAGTTTCATAGATTCCAGGGTCAGAAAGTGCCATTATGCATAGCACAGGCCAGAGAATTTGTCCATGTGTTTCCTGAATCAAGCCCAATAATTTGCAGATGAACTACAGCTTCTCTTTGAAAGACATCCAATCTTGATTTAAAGATTTCAAGTGATGAAGAATTCACTTCATCCCTTGGGAAGCTGTTCAATGATAATTACCCTCACTGTTAAAAAAAACATGTGCCTTATTTCCAGTTTGAATGTCATCTAGATTTTCAACTTCCAGCCCTTGGGTCTTGTTATGCTTTTGTTAGATTGAAGAGCCCTTAGCACCCGATACTTTTAGACTGACCAAGTCTCTTAAAACTTGCTCTTCTACAAGCTACAATAAATTGAATTCCTTAAATTACTCACTGCAAGGCAAGGGTTCCAGTCCTCATACTTCTTGTCTTCCCTGAAGCCTCCTCAATTTTTCCAATATCCTTTTTGAAGTGAGGATATCAGAACTGGACAGAAGTATACCAATCGCAGTCTCATCGTATACAGAAGTAAAGTTACCGCCCTATTCCTATGCCATATTCTCCTGTTTGTACATCCAAGGATAGCATTAGCTCCTATCCACAGCATTTCATTAACAGCTCATGTTCAGTTGGTTATCCACCATGATTCCGTCTATCTTTTTCAGTCCCCCATCCTGTAAATATGGCCTATATGTTTTTTCTAAACGTATATGCTTTTGCATTTACGAGTATTAAGAGAAATTTGTTTAAATACAACTTCCCAACAGATTCAAATCCATCAATGTGACCTATCCTTATTTCCACTTCACCAATCTTTGGTATTATCTGCAAAGTTTATCAGCAATGATTTCATATTTTCAACCAGATCATTGACACAGAAATTAACTAGCACTGGGCCAAGAACAGATTATTGTGGGACCCCATTAGAAACACTTCCTTTCAATGATGAGTCCCATTGAAATGTGGACAAGGGTGATTCAGTTGATAGTGTATTTGGATTTTCAGAAAGAAGGTCCTTCCATGGTTGGCTGAATTGGTTAAAAGACAGAAAGCAAAGGGTAGGAATAAATGGTCATCTTTCAGAATGGAGAGAGGTAAATAGTGGTGTCCCCCAGGAGACCAGTGCTGTTCAACATATTCATAAATGATCTGGAAAAACAGTCATGGAAAATTTGCAATTACTCAAGATAGGTAAGTCCAAAGCAGACTGCGAAGAGTTACAAAGGGAGCTCACCGAACTGGATGACTGGGAAACAAAATAACAGATGAAATTCAGTGGTGATAAATGCGAAGTAATGCACATTAGAAAACATAATTCCAGCTATACATACAAAGTGATGGGATCTAAATTAGTAGTTACCACTCAAGAAAGAGATCTTGGAGTCATTGTGAATAGTTCTCTGAGAAGGTCTGCGCAATGTGCAGCGGCAGTCAAAAAGGGTAACAGAAAAGGGATAGATAGAACAGAAAATATTATAATGCCTGTACATAAATTCATGGTTCGCCCACATCTTGAATACTGCGTGCAGATCTGGTCACCCCACCTCAAAGAAGATCTATTGGAATTGGAAAAGGTACAGAGAAGGGCAACAACAAATGATGACGGGTGTGGAATAGCTTCCATATGAGGAGAGATTAAGAGACTGGGGCTGTTCAGCATGGAAGAGAGACTATTAAGGGAGGATATGATAAAGGTCTATAAAATCTGGACTGGTGTGGAGAAAGTGAATAAGGAAATGTTATTTACTCCCTCTCATATCACAAGAACTAGGGGTCACCCAATGAAATTAATAGACAGCAGGTTTAAAACAAATAAAAAGAAGTACTTCACAACACATCGTCAACCTGTGGCACTCATTGCCATGGGATGTTGTGAAGGCCAAAACTATAACACAGTTCAAAAAATAACTAGGTAAGTTCCTAGAGGATAGGTCCATCAATGGCTATTAGCCAGGATGGGCAGGGATGCAACACCATGATCTGAGTGTCTCTAGCCTCTGTTCGCAAGAAGCTGGATGTGGACAACGGGATGGATCACTTGATGATTGCCTGTTCTGTTCATTCCCGAATGCCAGAAGACAGGATACTAGGCTAGATGGACCATTGGTGGGGAACAGTTTCAGAGACCTGAGGAAGAGCTCTGAGTAAGCTCAAAAGCTTGTCTCTCTCACCAACAGGAGTTGGTCCAATAAAAGATATTACTTAACCCATCTTGTATCTCTGATATCCTGGGACCAACATGGCTACAACAACACTGCATACAACATACAGTACCAAGTCAAACATTACAGAAATTATAAAATTACCTTTACCAAATTTGTAATCTCATGAAAAATAACATTATTTATTTCACAGTACCTATTTTCCATAAACCATGTTGAATGACACCTATTAATTTAATGCTGGGATAAGAATAGTAAGGACTCAACATTCCCACACTCTTCAATTGCAGAAAATCAAAATGGCCCTAGTAAGTCATCCAAACAGGGGAACAGGGAAACAAAGACTTGTAACCGCTGATATTTCTATACTGAAAAAACCCTAAAGCCTTTTCAGGGCACCCAATCACAATGCTGCAATGGGTGCAAACCCTGCCCATACTGTCAGTATAATCTTTAATTATAAACTGCAAAGTAATTTTTGTATTGTGCTCCTGCCCTTTTTTTGCTTCTTCATGATGTACAATGGAGGCCTAGATGTTGTTCCCCACCTTCACTTTTCACCTTAGCCATTTCAGAAATAGTAATTCTAGTCTTTTCTAGTTTTGCTAGAAGTCCTGTGTGAGGTCTCTGGGGTGTTTACTGTGAGCTGTAATATCTTCACCGAATTCCCCAAGAAATAAATGTATTTTCTTACAATATGTTTAGTTAACATGGTAAGACACTAGTCAAAACAAAACAGTTTTAGTTTTCACACGTGTTACTATGTCAAGAAAGGCACTAGGGTTGAGTGCAGGGTTTACCTCAAGGGAACAAAGCTCCACTTGGCCGGCCGGCCTGCCTACCTTGTGTTAGCAATATTAATTAACAATGGATACAAACACACGTTGTGTTCCCGGAAAAGGCCAGGCCAAACCTGCCTTTCCCCAACATGTTGCTACTTAAGTTCAACAGGTGGTAACAAAATACAATTTAATTTTAAACTGTCCAGCGTCCACTAGCTTAGCCCAGGTTTGGCGCCCATGGCACTCGCCCTCCCGCCGCCAGCCCAGACCCGGATTTAAAATCCCAATCGAGCAGAAGAGTCCTTCGCGCAGCTTCTCCCCGCAGACAGACGCGGGGCGCTCAGGCGGTGCCCCGTGCGCTCCCGGCCTTGGCGGCAGCAACTACGCAAGGGACAGTCTGGGCCGAGGCCCAGCTCGCCAACTACGTGGCTATGGGAACAGCCAGGGTCCCAGCCAGACCAACAGCTGCGGCCTCCCCAGCACCACCGCCAATGCGGGGGTAACAACCGCTGAGCCCCCACCGCCCCCGGGATTTCGGGCCAGGGGCCTCCCCGGGAAGGCGGGCCCGGCTGGGAAGACGGCCCAGGGGCCTCCCGGAGAAGACTGGGTAAAAGGGCCCGGCCAGGAGGGGAGGCTCTTCCCGCGGCCCCCCACATGCGGCGGCGGGAAAGGCCCCCGGGCCGAACACGGCCGCGGAACTGGACGGCCATGAGCGGGCGGGGGCCGCGCGATTACCTGCGCTGCTGTGGGTTGCGCTTCTGGCTCAGGTGCCCGGGATCCGGCGGCGCTAAGGACGGGGATAGGCCCAGCGGCGGCGAGTCCCTCAGAAAGGGGGGCTCGAAAGGTGGGGGGGCGGCTCGGATACTAAAGGCCGCTTCGGGCCAGCTCTGGTGGCGGCGGCGACTGCTCCCTGAAATGGCGCCTGCCGCGTCTGGCTGCTCGGGAGCTCCGCGCACTCACACACGGGGTCGCCCAGAGCCCGCTGCACGGGCTCTCGCGAGACTGAGACCAAACAAACAAGGCTGAGCGCGTCCTTGACACATGAATCTCGCGAGACACCACACCCGGAAGCAGACTAGAACAATCGCGAGAATAAGGAATAGGCCCCGCCGAAGTACGCTCCCCTCCCGTAGGCTCAAAGTCTCGCGAGATTCGGGTCAGCAGCAACCGCAATAGAGGTCAAAGGTTAAATTTGGATATTTAAACTAGAAGTAAAAGGTCTTACCCTCCTCTTCTCCCCAGTAGCCCTAGGTTGGGGGGAAGAGGGGTTTTCAACACTGGACTTGGGGGGGGGTGTCAATGCTGGGGCAGAGGGGTCCCCGCACCCCTGAGAGTGCTGGGCGAGGGGGGAATCAGCACTGGCTAGAGGGATGCCCATTCCCTCCTGGAGTGCAGGGCCGGGGGGTCCCCACCCCAGTGCTGTGACTGTTGCTCAGTCATGCCCACCTCTCTCTGCCCAGCTCTAATAAAGGCGTTGTTTACACTGGAACATTTTCTGCTTTGGCACTGGTGTATAGAATTGCCAACTTTCTTAATAGCACAAAACCCAAACACCCCTGTTCTCTGAGGCCCTGCCCCCTCCCCCCCCCGCTCGCTCCATTGCCTGCTCTCCCCCACCATCACTCACTTTCACCGGGCTGGGGGAGGGGTTAGGGTGCAGGGGAGGGGGTAATGCGCTGGGGGTGTGGGCTCCAGATGGGGCCAGAAATGAGGGGTTCAGGGTGCAGGAGAGGGCTAGGAGGTTGGGGTGGGGGTGAGGGCTCCAGCTTGTGTTGTGGGGCTGGAAATGAGGGGTTTGGGGCACAGGAGGGGGCTCAGGGCTGGGGCAGGGTTTTCGGGTGGGGGTATGGGGTGCAGGCAGGGAGTTTGGATAGGGGAGCCTCTACCTCGCTACCTCTTGGGGGATACCAGAGACAGGATCTATGCAGCATCCCTCAGAGCTGTCCTATCTATTTTAAGGACAAAGCAATGAATTGGACTTCCTTGAGGGTTGGGGCAGAAGGGAGAGAGAAAGGACACCTATCCCCCCCCCCCTTTGCCTTTGAGTACCTAAACAGAAAGGGGTAGTTCTCCATGGTTATGTAAGTGTTGGTGCATCAGTGTGGCTGTTTTATGACATTAACATTGGCTGGTCAGGGAAGGTCCATGATGCATCTTTAGGACTTCAGGAATTTTTTGACAAGCTGGAAGCAGGGACATATTCCCCTATTGTGGTTGCGATGCCAATTGTGATTCACTGGGACCCAGCCAACCCTTTACTTTTTTTGGCTCAGGAAGCCATACACCTGGACAACAGCAAGGAAAAATTTAAATATCACCTGTGCAGATGCCGGATGAGCATGCCGCTGGAAGACTGAAGGATAGATGAAGATGTCTTATAACTGGGCTTCATCTCAGTGAGCCACATATTCCTGGTATTGCTGCATGTTGTGTTTTGCATAATATCTGTGAGGTCAAGGAGGACATGCTACTGCCAGGGTGAGGGATGTGGACAGCTGGCTGATTTTACAAAGCCCAATTGTTACTAGAGCCCCTCAAGGTGCTGTGCAGCTCAGGGAAGTTTTCTAGAGCACACACTGATAGTTTGCCATAGCCAGTGTGTTATGTTGTGTGATTGTACGTAATGTAATGAGCTGGTTTATGAATTGTTTGTTTGCTGCAAGGGAGGCTGTTGCTTCAGAGGCTGTATCTCTGTAAGACAAAGAAAATAAATTGTTTTCCCACAAACTAGAACTTTGTGTTATTAGTGCACAAGACACACTACTAAAAAAGAAAATGCACAGTGCTGACTCCTCTGTGCTACATCACAGCTCAGGGTAGGTATAATCAAAGCAGTTCTCATTACAGAGTTGAGTGAAAGGAATACAGTTGCAGGGAGTGCTGCTGTCTGGAAAAAAGGAGAGGGGGCAGAAAGAAGGAATTGTTTACTGAGAGTAGTGGCTGCTGGGTGCTTTGCTTCATAATGTGTTTGAGCATATGTGTTTGTTGTGTAAGGAGATGTATGATGGCTTGTTGCACCTCTTAATCCTTCTGTCTCTCTTCCAGTATGTGGTTTTGCCATTCCTGGGTCTCAGGTTCTAGATTCATCAGTCTTGACCAGTTCTGAAAGGTGTCTTCTCTTGCTTGTTTCTTTTTCCTCCTCATTGTGGCGAGTTTCTCAGCATGTGTGGAAGGGATGGTCCCCAAGGATATTGCAGCCAAGGCCACTGATGAATACCACCAGACAGAGTGCCATTGCTAGATTTTTAAGGGCTGGTCTATATTACCGAGTTAGGTTGGCTTAACTACATTGCTCAGGGCTGTGAAAAATTTTGCACCCTGTACAACATAATTAAGCCAACCTGAGTTCCATTGTAGACACTGCTTGTCAACGGAAGAATATTGTCTCTTGAAGAGGTGGATTTACTATAGTAACATAAGAGCCCCTTCTGTTGTTGTAGGGTTAGCAAACATCAGAAGATAAGCAATACAACTCTCTAAACATTTTCACATGTAAGAACAGGTCCACAATCGCTACAGTTTCACAACCATTTAGTATCATGGTAAGTATGTAGGGGTGTGTGACATTATTGACATGAACTGTGACCGTATAGATCATTGTTGCAACCAAGGTCCTATAGTTGCACCAAATCTTGTACAAAGGAGGTCAGGTAAGGTGTCTATGGAAAGGTTGTAATTTGCTGGTTATGATTATGCTGTCTGTATATGTGTATCAGTTTTGTGTTTGAAGTTATGAATATTGGCTATGTACTTGTATCTCAAAGTGTTTGATTCTAAGTAGCATCAGTGAAGCATTTGGTCAGCTTCTTGAGAAAGGACTATTCTGAGTAAGTGCCCAATCAAGAAACACTTAACTGACAATGGACTTTGGGAGACGCCAATCCACATCTGAGCTTTCCTGGGAACATTCAAACTAACATGTAAACAATGGTGTCGGCCTGCAAAAAGCTGAATCATTCATGGACGTGTGACTTGCCCAGGTAGCTACAAACTCCATCTTGTTGCTGTGATTTTGCACAGAAGAACAAAGGGGTTTCCGTCCACAAGAGAGAGAATATAAAAGACCCTGGAAGCCTCTCCATTTTGTCTTCAGCTGGCTCGAGATGGCCTCTCCACCCCAAAGAGATGCCTGAAAGAAACTGGAACAAAGGACTTTAACTATGGGGGTGTGAGTGATTGCTGGACCCAGGCCATAAACCACAACATTCGTCTGAAAATGATTGGGCCTAGACTAGGAAGGAGTCTAGTCGGAGAAAGAAGCTTATTGAAACATCTTTGATGGTGAGATTTACCTGTATTCAGTTTCCTACTGTATTAGGCTTAGACTTGCATGTTTCGTTTTATTTTGCTTGGTAATTTACTTTGTTCTGTCTTTTATTACTTGGAACCACTTAAATCCTACTTTTTATACTTAATAAAATCACTTTTGCTTATTAATTAACCCAGAGTAAGTAATTAATACCTGGGGGAGCAAACAGCTGTGCATATCTCTCTATCAGTGTTATAGAGGGCGGACAATTTATGAGTTTACCTGTATAAGCTTTATACAGAGTAAAACTGGGGGGGGGGGGGCTATTCCTTATTTGGGGTTTAGGCTCCCAGAAAGACTGAATACTGGGTGCTGGGAAAGTCCCTGTTAACTGAGAAGCCCCTGGGCTAAGTGAAATTTAGTTTCTGTGAACTACAGGGGAGCATGGCCCAACCTCTTGGTCTGTGCTGTAGCTGACTGGAGTGTCTAACTCAGCAAGATGAAAGGGGAGGGAAGCCTTCTCTGGCAGGGGGGTTTGTTCTCAGTGGTATCCCAGCACATCTAGTGACAGTCTTGAGGGAGTCTCTGTGACCAAACCCGTCACAGGGGGCACTTCTTCAAACCCAGTGAGTGGCAGGGGAACTTCAAGGATAGTGTAATAAAGACTGCAAAACTTATTACAGGCAATAGTGATCTTAGCAGTTATCATTTATGATGGTATCGAAGGCCCACAGACTGCAGCTGCTTAAGAGAGCCTGTGTTCAGCCAGGGCTGTATGGTACTGGCCTCTTCGCAGCAACGATCCCCTGAGAGGTCCTTGTAGAATGGAATAAGACGGTACCCTACCCTGGTGGGAGAAACAAGGCTGGTCTGCCTAGAAATGTCCAGGCAAAGATCAAACAGTATTTGCTTGAAAAGTTCAGTGAAATCGCAGAGGACTGGAAAGCTGTGTGGGCCAAGATAAACGCTCTTCTGCACTATTGGCAGAGGGCCTCAGTGACTGCCTGTGCAAGCTAACTACTCATTGTTTCTGCCTCTTTCCTGAATCTAACCACAGCATGCAAGTAATGTGTTTTGGACTTGAAAGCCTGCATCCAATCAGTTTACATTGCATTTTCTGCAAATGCATGTTGTTTGAATACTCACTGGTCTATGTGTAGCTTACAGTTAGTGCAAGTGCTTTTTTCTGTTTGCAGAATATTGAATTTTGTTTGGTTACAGGGTAGTCATTGCCTGCAAAAATATGTACTTTGAATGCTTGTTTGCAAAGTATTGGCAAACATATGCATTTGGGAATACTTGTTGGCTGCTTTTTCCTATTTTCTTTCTGTTGATTTTGGCTAGTGCTGCCAGTTCGTGCTCTTAAAATAAATTGGCTACTTTAAAACAGAATTTCTTTGTTCATTGTCCATTCACAGTCAGCTGTCATTTTGAAAGGGGAAAGGGCCCTGGAGAATGTAAAATAAAGGCATGCATTAATGGCATGAAGTTACAACGTACCTTAGTCCCTAATCGCTAATCCGTTCACTCTCCAAGTTCAGCTGAGCCTTGCAGAAGTCCTGGCTCTTGAGCAGCCTGACATCATCCATGTCCCTCACCTCAGTCCACAGGTCCCCGGGTGCCCTCCTCCAGAGCTTGCAAGTCTGGCCACTGTCACTGGCCAGTTGGTGAGGGGATCCCTGCTCAGTTTGGCATCAC